GTCATACCTTGAGATTTTTTCGCAATTTTCATGGGCATATATGATTGAATGTAATGTATGCATCTATATATGTTTGATATGTTTATGCTTGATGCATGCATGATGCATGTAATGAGTGACTTGGACATGTGTAAATGGATGTTGGATTTTGAAATGCCAATGAGAATTAGGCTCTTTGTTAGATCCATGATGTCGGAAGTCATCATCTGAATGTGATGATAAGCATAACTTGATTCTGGACCGAAGTAACCTAATGAATGCGTGACAATGATTTATGCAGACTCGTGTGCTTTTGATTAATGCCCCTGTGATAGGTCGTGGATGATTAAAGCGTAGAGGTTTTCCTATGCAACAAGGTTGCTTGTCACATGATGGTTGAATGTTATGCTTTCATGATTTCCTGATACTCGATTTGAACTTGAAGATTGCTGATGTAGGAGAAAGATCTACTGGAGATTATGAAAGTACGCGGAGAGTCCTTATGTGGACTGTCTTTCCCTAATTTGTTGGTAGGGTCTTGGAGGAGATTCTCATTGATATGAGCTTGGAAATAGTTTGATCATAATATGAATGACGCCACTATTTTGCACTATACCCCTGATTAAAAAAACTCTTGAAATTTTTTGGCTTTGATGAACCATTTTAAATCAACTCCTTCTGATCGAGCCTCGCAGTGGTTTTCCCCAACACTCGAATTTTGAAAGATGCGCCCCTCAATCTCCAGGATTTGAAGGAAGTACCCTCAGAAAGAACTTAGACCTCACAATGATCTTGACATAGATTTCCCCAAATATTCGAAGCTTGAAAAGTTTGTACTTGAAGTTGCTTGAAGGGGATTTTGGACCCTATGTGCAGTAGGATGAATTTGGTATGTACTACCCCAACATTTGAATCTTGGAAAGTTGCCCTGATTATCAAGGCCTTGAGAGGTTTGTTAAAACGAGGAAACCGAGTCATACCCTATTGCAATGTAACTTGATTAAGGAATTCTCCTTCGAAAGGTATGCCCCTGATTGAACAATGCTTTGAAATTTGATCCAAGTTGATTGAATCTCGGAATGACCACCCCTTATCAATAGTATATTCATGAGACATACCCCTACAATCATTATTATTTACCCCTGTTTATAGAGGTCCTCTTAGATGCTTTTCCCCTAATTAGAAGCTTCTTGGAAATGCTGCCTTTGGTCAGGCCTTTTTTTTTTAAATCTCCTTAATGCTAAGTATTGATTCGTAAGTAAAATTGTCCCCTTTTGAAAAGTTATTCTTAATGATGCACATGCAAGTTTTGAAATCAAATTTTTAATATAAATGTATTATTTAGAGATGGATATTCGAAGAAGCGAAGTAGTTAGAAATAATTTTAACAAACATAAGAGTCAGTTTAACACAAATTTGTCAAGTATGCTTTCATAGTTAACCTTGCTTCAATTAGGACTTTTGAAGGTTGTAACATGGTCATGGTTCGTGGTTTAAAGAAAAAAATGATAAAAGGCTCAAAATTTTATTTTAACCCATCCCATTCTCCTTGGAGTTCTCCAATCCTAAATTCAATTAATACAACAAATGCGTTCAATCTCCAAGAGAAATTTTGTAGTCGTGCAGATGATGAGAAGCATTGATAAGATTCAAGCATCGATGAAAAGCATTGATAAGATCCAAGCATTAATGAGAAGCCTTTGAGGTTATTGAGGTGGCAGATACAAGATTATTCTCCAATTTATTTGTTCTTAATCCCTTATTTTGCATGGACCGGTTCTTTTTGAATTTTCGGTCCATTGGGACGCCCTAACTTTTTCCTAAATCAAGTTTTGATTTCTTTTAACTTAGCGGGCTTTCTCCTTCTTCTTTTTTAATTTCCTTTTTTTTTCTTTTAATTTTGAAATTTTGTGACTTCCACGCTGATTGTTGTAAGCTTCGTCTTCATGCTTTCCTCGATTTTGAATGATGTATTGAGGAGGAAGATATTGAGAGCTTCATGGATTCCTCATACTTGATGGATGTGAGCAAAATGATGTGCTTGAACCCTTGCTTAGATTGTTTTCTAAATCTGTGATGATGTATCGAGGAAGAAGATATGCTTGAACCTTCACATAGATGGACTTGATTTTCCCGAGATTTGAATGCATCATTGAATTAATTGAGATTTACCCTGCCCCTGGTTAAGATTAAGGATTTTTAGAAAATAGAAATAACTCAAACTTCTGGCTCGAGGGGGTTAAATACAGATTATGTCCTTATTTCTCCACTGTTTAGGAAGTGAAACAATGACTTACATCGTCAGCTCGGTCTTATCATTGAAAGCATACGTTAGCAAACTCCTGTTATTTAATTTTCATCATTCTCCCTCGAGGTTTGTTAATTGAGAATGGAAGAGTGAAAAGTGAAATGGAAGGTGATGAAAGAGTGAATATGAATGAACTGATTTCAAAAACATGCATGATTATTTTATTAGAATTACTAATCAAAAGATACAAGTTCACACCAAATGAAACTTAGCAACTAGGAAATTACAATTTGTAACTGATAAAGTCTATTTATCCTATGGAAGAGCTCCTTTGTTGATCCACGGGACTTCAAGAGATGCTTCGTAGTTCTTGGACTTGTCAGAGCATGGGGGTGACCCTGGACTCTTCTTGGGCATATCAATTCTATTGATATAATTGCTTTTAGATCACCAATGATAGTTACATCTAAGGCGCTGTGTAGGCCTGTATAGTGAAGGGTTTCCTTCTCTTTTTAATTGGACTTGTAGGACCAAGCTCAATTGAGTCTCCAATGTTTAATCTCCTACTTCCACAGTTTCATACTTTCTTAAGATTGTTTGCGAGTACCAAGGAATTAGCTAGCATATGGATAATAGGTTAATAAGGGCAAAGGTGGAAATACATGAGATGCAAATGTATGAATGTATGTGAATACAAAAATATTTTGGATTTTAAAGGTATGCAAAAAAGTTTCATGGATATGTAATGCGACGCATATGTAGTACGAGGGTAGACGTAGGGGTACTCTATACAAGTTTAATGATAGACGTGATGATACACTACACTGACTCAGAGATTGAGACAGACAGAAACTCCTTAAAGACGAAGCTAATAACAGACATAGATTCGATGATATCCTACATTGTCTCAGAGATTGAGACAGGTAGGAATTCCTTAAGGATTATGGTCAAAGAAAGACGATGAGGGATCCCTACGAGCTAAGGATTATGACAAAGATGGAAGTCCTACGGGCTAAAGATAGTAGTGGGTGAAGAGATAACCCTTGCAGGTTTAAAGATTGTGGTGGGATTTATGAATGGTATCTTTAGAAGGTAGGTTCCTAGTATTGGCCTACGGGTATTCTACCCTCCCCAGAAGATCTTTTCCTTAAGGGTATCATGAATAACACTAGAGGGAAAAGGCACAAGGGCTTCCCTTAAGTGGAATCTCTTTACAGACCGAAACTTTCGTCTCTAGGTCATGAAAGGTCTCATCATGAGTTTTTGGTTTAAAGGGCGTACACAGAGTCATAGGTGTCATTTCAAAGTCCTACTTCCCAAGAGGATGTCTCTTGAGAGGTATTACTTTTATGGAATTCCACCGACTCTAGGCGAAGTCGTCAAATAAACTCATAGGGTTGATGTAACCCCTTGGCTAATAGACGAACCTTCTTTCTAAGGGTTTTTGAAAATATATTTTTGCAAAATTTAAATCCCACCATAGATATAAATATAATAAAAAGTTAATAAATACAGAAAATAAAGAGAAACCAAAAGATAAGAAAAACCCTAAAACCTAAAGGAAAGGCCTCCAACCCTAAGGTTGAGTCCCCAACAGAGTTGCCAGCTGTTGCAAGTGGTTTTTAAATTAGAGTCTTCACCCTTAATTTTATTCTAAGGAATGGAATATAAAGGAATAGCCCTAAAAATTAGAGATTCTAGATTGTTGGACTTAGTTCTAGACGAAGGGAAGGTGTTAGACATCCCTCATCTACCATGTTCGCAATGATACTAGGTTTAGAAGTGCAATTTTTAGGAAATGGGGTTTTTATGTTTATTAGGGAAACTCACCACGACTTTTAATCGTATGCCTACTTATTCTCTTAGGAGGAATCAGAGTCTCAATTTGTAGTTCGCAGTATTGGTTGGTGTTTTTTATAAGATTACGTAGAATTGATTTCGAATAATCCTTGAACATTGTCTGGGTTTGAAAATAGAGTGAGCGCAGACGTAATTCGCAGTTAATTCAGAGACAATGCTATTTAATCTTTTTTAAAGAAATAATCTTGAGTTTTGATTATGTTAGTTGAAAAATCTTTTGATGTTGGTTAGTTATATTGAGACGTGGAGCGAGGGAGTCTGATATAATCTCCTCATCACATGGCCAGATATTGACCATATGTCATTCGCGGATGATGAATTAGGTGAGTTGCATGAATTTTAATATCTTTGTAAAAATATCAAATTAATTTAATTGCGAAAATAAGTTTGGAATTATGTACAAACTAATTTTATCCAACAAACTTTTTTTTTTTTTAGTGTTTTGGTTAATGATTAAATTAATCAAATCTAATTAACAAAATTAATCTAACTAATAAAGTCTAACTAATCGAAAGACTAACATAAATAATTAAATTAAATTGGTTAAGCTAAATGGTGTAATAGAAGTATGGAGGTGTGAATTAGTAATTAGAAATTATGGTCATAAGCCCAAAAAGTCTGATTACAAAAGCCTAATTTCTAAAATAATTATAAATAAAATAAAATAATATAAAAATAGGAAAAAATAAAACAACAACAACAAAAATGAAAATAATTTTACAGTGAGATCTGAGAGGTTGTTATTTGATAGTTATTTTGAGTTGAGATCTGAGATAGAGGTTTGGCGGTGCATCGTTGTTGGTGTCTCGGATCGCAATTCGGTTGTGTGATGGATCGTGACTAGATTCTGGTGTGCAGCAGAATCGAAGGTGGCACGATCTACAGTGTCAGGCGGGTTTCGTGACGTCCCAGGATGCTGGGAGTAACAGCCCTGCCAGGTTCTGGCGAACGAAGGGTTGTGGCGGTTGTGGAGTCATCGATGTTGGACGACCATTGGAGGAAGCTCTGGCATGATGGGTGCGAGCGGAGCTGGTCGCCGATACTGCAGGTGGCGTTCTTCCGATGTTCTTCTTTTTTTCGTATAGAACAACCAAACAACACAACAGATTTCTAGATTTTCTTATTCACTTTTTTTTATGTAGATGAATGTATTATTTAGTGAAAATTGTTGTTGTGATTGTATTGTGCAGCTTATCAAAAGTGATTACGGTTATGGTTCCCAATTTTGGATGCTTATGAAATTGATTAGATGAAAGTTGTGATTAAAAGCATACAAGACTAAGAAAATAGTTTTCCAGAGAAAGGTGGTTTAGTAAGTATTTAATAGTGATAACAAATACATTTTATTGGTTGGTTTGTAAACTTATTCTCAAAAAAAGGTTCTTTTTTTGGTTTGCGATGAGTGTATATGATTGGGATGGTCATTGTCTGGGTATGAAATAAGGAGTAAGTACAACATGAGAGTTCTTGTATAATACTTGTGTATTCACATGTGCAAATGAAAGAACACATAAGGTTTGACTCAACACTAGAAAGAAAACATGTTTTGTGTGGAAAGCTTAATGCAAATATAATTTTACAGATAAATTATCATCAGATAAATATTCATCATATGGTTAGAGAAAAAAATAAATAAAAAAATATTGAAAATTAGAGGGTGTTGAAATATCAGGGGGCCTTATATTTAATCATTGGCCAAAAACATAACACCAAAAGTATTTTTGAAAAGAAATTTGAAACAAAGTGTGTAGAATCGTAGAATTCGTGATGAATTGTGTGTGTTATGGATACTGTGGAAATTGTGAATAAAAAACTAGGACAAATTAAGGACATCCTCGTAGGTAGCACACTCAAGGAGTCCCTTCGTGATAATAAGTCGAGCCACGAGCACAGGCTCTAGGTTCTCGCCAAGAATGACTTCCTCGCGCTTGGTCACACACTGAGCAGGGACAAAGCTATCAAAGAAAGCCACTAGTTTATTATAGCTTGCCCAGTCATCCTCGTCCAAATCGTCCAGACGAACGATATATTCGTCAGTCTGTCGGTCAAAGTGGTCGCGGCTCCAAGCAAAACGAAACCTATGGACTTGGTGCCTCCTTTGTCTACCATCCTCGCTCAAAAGAGGTTCCCCGTTGTCCTCCGTCTTAACTTTCCATTTGGGTCTCCTTTCCCAAATGGTTGTTATGAGAGGCACTAAGGGTATGCTCTTTTTACATGTAGAGCAAAATAGGGGGTGAATAAAACAATAGGGTACCAGTCCAAATTTTCGATTGGGCCCAATGAGTTGGGGGTGCAGAAATGTGTATGTTATCAAAAATAATGAAAATGAAGTGTAATTAGCATTGGGCTAGGCCCAAGATGTTATAAGTCTGTTTGGACAAGTCATGTAGGGCATACAGTAAGGCCATGGATACGCGGGTTCAAGACCGTATGATCTAGATCAGATGATTATAATTTGAGGGTGTGTGGTAATATGATGGGCGCCGTGTACATGATTACATAACATAATATAATTTCTTTTTACAAAAAACAGAATTTTAATTTCATTATCATTCTCTCTCTCTCTCAGCATCCCTTCCTTTCTCTCTTTTGTGTGTCCTCTTCCAAATACAAATCCTAGATCGAACGAAACCCTCTAGCGGCGGAAATAAACCTTCCTTTATGAACCCAAAATTCAACACCCAATACTCTCCCTATCATAATACAACATGCAGAAAAAAGAAAAAGGCTTGGTTTCGGTTGTGTTACCTTCAATTACAGATCTCCACTTCCAGTCGCGTCTCGCTGGCCAATCCTTTTTGTTTGACAGGTTACGGCAACAGAGACAATGGCTTAGTGGAGAACGACGATGATTTGAGGCGTAGCGGCGGCTTAAGAGGTTTTTAGGGTTTTAGATTTTGATGTCCTAAATTCCTCTTCTTCTTCTTCTCAGTAAAAGCTAATTTTCTTACTGTAATTTTTTTCTTTTTCTGATATTGTCATCCCCCCCTCTTTGTTGATGTCTTCCTCTTTTTATAGTGTTTTTTGGGTTTTTGTAAATTAGAAAATACCATTATGCTGTCTATAAGATTTTATCAGATTTTGATTAGGGTTTGAATTAGGTTTAGGAAAGGTTTGAATCTGTCTGTAGATTTAGTTTTGAATTAATTAATTTTCGTTTTTGTTGATTGTGTTTTTATAATGGGTTCATTCTGTATTGATTGCGTAGATGCTTATTTCTGCACATGTTATGGCAAGTTTTTCTGCAATTTGATTTTGTTTCTAAACTAAAAGATCAAATTGATGAAGATTTTTATTTGATCTGAAAAGTAGACGAAAACAATAGTTTTTCCCAATTGATTGAAACAGTAATTGTTTAAGCATTTGGGCCTCGCGATTTTCAGAACATGTATGGGTTTTTGGCCTGTATTGCAACAAATCTGGACTTGGGTTACGCGATTTGAAACAAGAGCATTTTGATTGAAATTGGCATGTGGCTTAATTCTGGACCGTACTCTTTAATTGGGGAAGCAAATTAAAAAAATGGCAATAACCAAAAAACTTAAAACAAAACAATCTTTTAAAACTAAGCAAAAAAATTTTGAACGGGCCTCCCCACTGGACCTTAAAAAAACGGATTATTTTAACCCTAATTGATAAAACAACCATTGAGTCATATAACTATAATACTAAAAAAAATAAACAATCGTTTTCGAAACAATAAGAAAAACTGAAATGGGCCTTTTGGGCCATGCGAAAGTTTTAAAAACCTTTTGGTTAACAATCTTTCTTAAACAAAAAATAATTAAATTTAACGGTTTCAATATTTAATAAGTAGTAATTAATTTAAAACAAGATAGTAATAATGTTAATAATGATGTTATTAATAATAAAATAATTTTTAAAACAAACCGAAGTACAAAAAGCTAGTTTGGGCCATGCTGATTCAAATATATTGGGCCTCAACAAAAACAAAATTTTCTTATACCCCCTTTCCAAAAAAAGACGGGAACCTTAATGGACCTTTTTTAAGAAAGAGATATGTTCACACCTCCTTGGTTACAATAATACCTCTCACCTGAAATGGATTTCTATTTTAAAAACCTTAATGGGCCATCAGATATTGATGGCCTATTTTAGATTAGTGTACCTCTTTTCCTAGTTTTTAAATCCACGTAGAAATAAAAATTAAAAAAATACGATCTATTTAAATAATACACCTTTAAAAGAAAACTAAACATAATTATAAGGGTAGGGTAAATTTGGGGTATGACAGCTGCCCCTATTTAATTATCTTTTGACTGAACAGTGCGAGAATGCATAGGTCTCGTACGTTCTGGTCAGAAGTTTATTAAATATTGGAAGACCCAAAAATTTGTTCGAAAAACCATAAGGATACGTTGTGCAGCGTTCCCATGGGTATGAAGAGCAAGCATAGATGGTGATGTACCATCTAATTTACGTTTTAACTCGAGCTGATTTTGATGTGACGATGTAGAGACTTGTCAGTATTTTAAGAAGAGATCGTTTGCATATCTACCGCAACCTAGGAGGTAAATGAAGCAGGTTTGAACAGTTCACTTTACTAATGCATGGGGACTAATATGGCAAGTTTTAGTTCGATTTGGTTTTGTTTATCCATCGCAACCTAGGGGATGGATAAAACGAAGCTTGACAACACATTGCCGCATGGAGAGTGACGCAATAGAGAAAGGTTTGACAATAACATTGCTGCATGGAGGCTGATGCAATGGGTCAAATTGTTGATTTTGTAACATTGCTGCTGGAGTTTGACGTAATGAGCTAGATCGCGAAGAAAAAAGATATTGTTGCATGGAGACTGACACCACGGGTTCGAGTTTGATAACAACATTGCTGCATGGAGACTGACACAATAAGCTAAATATGGGAAGCTTCACACATTGTCGCATGGAGACTGACACAATGGATAGGAGTGTTGGCTTCGCAACATTGTCGCCTGGAGTCTGACACAATGATCTAAGATCGCAAAGAAAAAACATATTTTTGCATGGTGACTGACACAATAAGTTAAATATAGAAACTTTCACACATTGTCGCATACAGACTGACACAATGGGTGGAATTGTTGACTTTGCAATATTGCTGCCTGGAGTCTGACACAATGAGCTAGATCGCAAAGGAAGAACATATTGTTGCATGGAGACTGGCACAATAAGTTTGAATATAGAGGAAGTTGTTTTGAATGATCCAAATCTTAGATAATTAAATCATATATGAGCACGGATTTTACTGGTTATTTGTTTCTAACCGAGGTAAGGACTAATGGAGGGTCCTAAGATATTGGCTCTACCCAAAGCATGTTTTTGAGAAATGCCATGTGTGATGTATGTACATGATGCGTGTGTATGGAAATATGGACTTTGTAATGCATATGTAACGAATGTGTGTATGCCTCAGATATATATTGGTGCAAACTATGTGTACATGCTCTGAATGTTATGGAAAAATGATTTTGTATTCTCCTTACTGAACCATTAGCTTTGAGTTACCAACCCCCTAGCATTGCGTGTTGTAACATCGTGGTATTTTTGAATTGATTTGAAAATGGTGGAAAATATCGGTAAGATCTTGATGTTTGTATCGTAGGCGTGGGCGTTGCATAGGTGCAGGCACAATTATGGAAGTAAGCGTAGACAAGGACGCATGCATGGATTTTCTTTCGATATTTTCTAACCAAAATGCATTTTCGATATTTTATCAAGTGTTTTTACTTGTCATATCCTCGAAATCATTTTAACACAATATTCAAAAGAAATAATCGTAGTATTTTGCAAACAAGTCTGAAAAAGAAAAACACAGTTCGCGGGACACGATGAGAAATACAAGTTTTATTGATATGCCTTTAAATAGGCGTGGGTACAAGATGCAATTCCTGAAAGGAGGTAATTACAGAAAAATTAAAAATTGTAAATGGCAATGAAAATGATAATTGCTACTGCTATTTTCCCAATATCTTTTTGATAACTTCCAGTCTTATTTGCTTCTGAGTTGGATGATTTAGATTTAACTCTTTCTTCTTGGTTCGTGGTCGCAGTTCTTAGATTGCAGTCTTTTTGTTCTTTATTTCTTTTGGATAAGATCCTTAATTTTTGC